CCTGTGCCTGCGTGGGTTTCCTCCGGGTACTCCGGTTTCCTCCCACACTCCAAATACATGCCGGTAGGTTAATTGGCCCTAGTATTTGTATCTATGTGAGTTACGGACATTAGATTGCAAGCTCTTTGAGGATGGACACTGATGTGTAGATGGATGACTTGACCGTATGGGCGGAGCCCCGCAGGGCCATGCTCTTTTTGGTCACAGTAGGTACGGGGAGAAGATCCCCGGATCGCTGTCACAGGGAGAGAGGGATCGGGGGAGAGCTGCAGGAGTAGGCACATGTTACATGTTCCACCTTAAAAACAAGTGGAACATGTAACATGTCCTGGAAGAAGAACTTATCCTTTAATTCATTAGGCTTGGTCTTTAAAAGGACCATTCATAAAAGAATTCACACCATCTATTAAAGTTTACATATACTCAGATGGTAACAGTGTTATGTTAAAGCTAAACTCCAGGAACAAACACTTTAGGTATACTGTATTAAAGGTATAAATCTGCTTTGTCTGCTCCAAATCCAAGTACAAATCCAGATATTACCTTGTAAAATTACAGGTGACATTATCACTGTGCTGCTCCAGTCATAGCAGACAACACTGTATCCAGCTTTCTCTACTGGACCAACAAGCTCCCCCCTGTGACCTAACTAGCTCAGTCAGTAGAGCATGAGACTCAATCTCAGGGTCGTGGGTTCGAGCCCCACGTTAGGTGTATGACATTGCAAAGGTTTTCGTGGAGCTTAGTGGTCTGGGAAAGCGAGCTGGAGACAATGAGTGCTGCCTAAGTCAGCCATCCCCGAGGGGTGATTCTTACATAATTGTGGCATTGGTTCTTTGTTTACTGCAGGCACATCTCTTTTTCAATTTACAATGTGAATGCAATATTTTTATTTATTAATAAAAGAAAATAATCAGTGAGCACTATGGAGGTTTTTCTTCCGAGCTTGAGGTTAAAAGAGAAGTGTGGAATTTGAAAAAATAAAAAAAAAAAACAACAAACACACTCACACAAACAAACATTTAAGCATGCTCACCTAGGTGAATGCACCATCAGTGGGATACTACATCTTCCCCAGCCATCTCTGAGACCAAGAACTGGATGATCAAAGACTGTTGATCGCTCAGTTCTCAGTCTTCAGTAAGCAGAGAGCTGGTGTAACTGTCAACAGGGGGCGAGAACAACTAGCTCAGGCTCTCAGCCCGTGTACTGAGAGGTAGAGCCAGTTGTCAGTCCTTGGGATCCCTCCAGAGTCTGGACTGGCTGAGTGACATCAGCCAATAATGAACTTTAGCCCACAATCAGCTGAATATGGGTCAAAAAATAGTGCAGAACTAAGTGCCCTCCTGTGACCCACAAAAGAAGTATAGCCAAAAGAGTTTTGGACCTACTTCTCCTTTAATAAAGAAAAAATAATCAGTGAGCACTATGGAGGTTCTTCTCTTTTGTTGAGCTTGAGGTTAAGAGCCTATGTGAACCAGTGATCATGAAGAGAACTCCTGACTGCTGTGCTGTGTGCTAATTGAATCCATCTGGCAGAATTGGAGATTCTGTGTCCTTCATGCGGGTCTGATCTTTGTATTGAAGAGATCAAAACAAGGTCAGGAGTACAGGTAAAGGACATTATCCTTTTGGAGGATGGTGTCACCCATCCTGTGTTCAGCTTATTGTGGTTTTTGTACCCAGAGCACTGGTTATGTCACAGACTTTGGTGGGCTTTGAGCACATTATTTTGTTGCAGTTTTTCACCATTTTATTGTGCATTTTACTATTTACTGTGTTATCTTCCAAACTATCAAACATAACTATATATATTCTAACTGCAATAACTACTGGGGATTATCCCAGATAATACATCTTACATGGGTAAATAAAAAATATATTTTTTTTAACCAGTAGGGGACCACCCACAGTACATATACTGCGTCAAGGAAGCCCCTGTGCGCAGGATCACGTATATAAACATGATCCTGCACTTCCGGGTAGGGGGCACGTGACCGCCCTACCCGTGCTGCCGATTGCGGCCCAGGGAGTCAATCACCAGGTCCCAGCCGGTGATTACTGGCAAACACTGAGCTCAGCCATCCTGATCAGTGTGCTTACAGTGAAGCACACCCCCACCATGCCCCCTAGTAAAACACTCCCATCACACAGTTAACCCTTTGATTGCCTCTCATTGTTAAGCCATTCCTCCCCAGTGCTTTTTTTTTTTGCACTGATCACTGTATTGGTGTCACTGAGGAGGTCAGTGACCCTAAGTCAGTTCCCCCCCAGTGTCAGAATGTCTGCTGCAGTCCCGCAATAAGTCGCTGATTGCCGCCTCAAGTCGCTGATCACCGCTATTATTAGTATTAAAAAAAAAAAAAAATCAAGTATCTATACCACCATTTGCAAACACTATAACTTTCATGTAAACTAATTAATTTACACGTATTGGGATTTTTTTCTTAGCAAAGACGTAGCAGAATACATTTTGGCTGAAATTTATCACGAAATTTGTTTAAATTTTTTTACTGGACATGTTTTATAGCAAAAAGTCCAAAATATAGTTTTTTTTTCTCAAAATTGTCGGACTTTTCTTTTTATAGCGCAAAAAATAAAAAACGCACAGGCGATCAAATACCACCAAAAGAAAGCTTAATTGGTGGGGAAAAAAGGACATAAATTTAATTTGGGTGCAGCGTTGCATGACCGCGCAATTGTCAGTTAAAGTAATGCAGTGCCATAATGCAAGCAGCTTCTGTAAATGCTTCCTGACCACACTATAGCAGAAATACTGCTACAGGGCGGCACGGGTGTGCAAAATCAGGTATATTTACGTGATTCATGCTCCCGTGGTTTTCACGCCCCTCCCAGATAGCGTCAGATTACCCATCAGTACACCAGTAATCACATTTAAACCCTTGATTGCCAGGAACACGCTCATACACAATAAACCTCCATTGCTAGTATAGTGTCTGAATGGATCAATATCTTTGATCAGATCAGCACTATACCACCATTCACATTAGTAAAATTGTCCCCAAAAATGCAGTGTTAGCGGGATCAGCCCTGGCACCTGCGTTTTAGCCCCTCGCTTACCTCCCCCCCCTTCTCCCCCCGCAAGTGTAGTGTCAGCAGGTCACTGTCACTTGATACATTGCACACAAAACCGCAATGTTCGCAGAATCAGGCTTGATCTGTTAGCACTTGTCGGTAAATTTTGATGACTCTAATATGCAGAAGAGTGCCAGTACTAGTGCCGCTCTACCTTTTGGTGAACTGGTGAGCACCATCGGACTAGTACATTCTGGTCTTTCACATACCAGCACTGCAGTATCACTTGGTGACATGGCGTTGATTTTTTTGAGCTGTTTTTCACAGAAGATCCGAATGCATTGATTGTGGGTCATAGCAATTTATATGCACAATTAATCGCCGCCAACCGAAATTCAAACCTTGCCAGACCATTCGCATGGAAACCCATTACAATTTCCGAATTTAAATTTTTTTTGGGCCTAACCCTCAACATGGGCATTACTAAATAAAATGAATTGCGGTTCTATTGGTCCACAGACCCATTCATCATATGCCGTGTTCTCTGCTGCCATGGCCAGGCAGAGATATGAGAGTATAATGTGTTTTATGCATTTCAACGACAATACACTCTGTCGTCCTCAAGGTGACCTTGAATTTGACCGGCTCCACAAAATTTGACCCTTTGTAAATCACCTTAACTAAAAATTTGCAGATGTCTATATTCCCAGCAAAACATCTGCGTTGATGAGTCCCTCATTAATTTTTCTGGCCGCCTTGCATTCAAACAATTTCTCCCCAGCAAGCGTGACAGATATGGGGTCAAGATGTAGAAGATCTGTGAGAGGGCAACAGGCTATACATATAAGTTTTGGATTTAGAAGGGAAAAAATAGTTATGTGCAGACTACATGGGGAGTAGTGGCAAGATAGTTTGGGACTTGGTGGCATCCTTTTTCCATATGGGGTACAGTTATACGTGGACAATTTTTATTCAAGCGTTATTTAGACATTTGTACAATCTTGGAATTGGCGCATATGGCACCGTGTGACCTAATTTGTGCCCACCATTAGAAGTGGGTGGATGCAGGGCGGTATATTCTAATGGTGGGCATACCACACACTTTTTCTGGCAGAGATGTATTCTTTTTTTTTTTTGGATGCAGCCTGTGGGCTGGATGAAAAAAAGAGAACATAGCATATATACCCAACAAGGACCAGTGACGTACTGGTACATCACTGGACTTTGAATAGTTATACCAGGATGATGCCTACAGCTGCAGGAATCATCCTTGCATTGTTTTTTCAGCTGGCACTAGGCTTTCATGTAAAAGCAATTCTAGTGGCTAATTAGCTGCAGGATTGCTTTTACAAGCAGCAGGAAATGATGCTCCCCCTCCCCGCTGCCTTCCATGGCCTTCTTGGGCAGTCCCGTGCCATTGGGGGAACCTGAAAATGCAGCTGGTGTTTCTGCCAGCTGACAACAGAGCCGATTGGAGACCGGAATGGTGCCAAACATCTCTATAGTCTAAGAAATCGGAAACTACAAGCATTTCATCACTTCAGTTTCGCAGGATATAAACAGCACCATTTGTAAATCGGAAAAGCATCTGATCACACGATCTTGGTGAGATTAGATAATGTTAGGGCAGAGGAGATATCTAAAGTCTGATAGACCCCAGACTTCTCAAAATCAATGACAATGCCCATTGAAGTTATGGGGGATATTTGCATTTCCTGTGATAGCATTAAAAGTGATCAAAGCATTGGACCAAACTGATATTGGTTTGATCCAATGCTTTTCTCAAACCAGTAACTACCGTATTTTCCGGCGTATAAGACGGCTGGGCGTATAAGACAACCCCCTACTTTTCCTGCTAAAATGTAGCGCTTGGGCTATACTCGCCGTATAAGACTACCCCTCTAGCAATGCACACCAGTGGGAGGAATAGTGCCCCATCATTGGTGTCAGTGGGGGAGGAATAGTGCCCCATCATTGGTGTCAGTGGGAGGAATAGTGTCCCATCATTGGTGTCAGTGGGAGGAATAGTGCCCCATCATTGGTATCAGTGGAGGAATAGTGTCCCATCATTGGTATCAGTGGGAGGAATAGTGTTCCTTTAGTGTCCCCCATCATTGGTATCAGTGGGAGGAATAGTGCCATCCTCATTGGTATTGTGGGAGGATTAGTGGGAGGGGAGGAATAGTGCCCCCATCATTGGTGTCAGAGCGACGAATCGTGCCCCCATATTGGTGTTCAGTGGGAGGAATAGCACCCCATCATTGGTATCAGTGGAAGGAATAGCACCCTATCATTGGTGTCAGTGGGAAGAATAGCACCCCATCATTGGTGTCAGTGAGAGGAATCGTGCCCCATCATTGGTATCAGTGGCAGGAATAGTGCCCCATCATTAGTATCAGTGGGGGGAATAGTGCCCCATCATTGGTGTCAGTGGGATGAATAGTGTCCCAACATTGGTGTCAGTGGGAGGAATAGTGTCCCCAACATTGGTGTCAGTGGGAGGAATAGTGCCCCATCATTGGTGTCAGTGGGAGGAATAGTGCCCCATCATTGGTGTCAGTGGGAGGAATAGTGCCCCATCATTGGTGTCAGTGGGAGGAATAGTGCCCCAACATTGGTGTCAGTGGAATAGTGTCCCAACATTGGTGTCAGTGGGAGGAATAGTGTCCCATCATTGGTGTCAGTGGGAGGAATAGTGTCCCATCATTGGTGTCAGTGGGGGGGTGGAATAGTGCCCCATCATTGGTGTCAGTAGGGGGGGAGGAATAGTGCCCCATCGTTGGTGTCAGTGGGAGGAATAGTGCTCCATCATTGGTATCAGTGACACCAATGATGGGGCACTATTCCTCCCACTGACACCAATTACACTTGCTGACCTCTGTTTCTAGTATGGTGCTGCTGCAGCCAGCATATGTGGTTGCAGCAGCACCTCTACACGGCACACTTACCGGCCGCTCCATCACTCGATTTTCGTGGGGCCGCTCGGCTCCGCCCCTCGTCGGTGTGCCTTTCCTGAGCTACAGTTCTGGCGCCAATCACCGGTGTGAGGAGGCGGAGCCGAGCAGCAGCCGCACGAACATCCAGTGGCCGAACTGAAGGAGCAGCCGCGCTTCCTGGACCGGATCGTCGTGGGACCGGAGCCAGGTAAGAAACAGCAGCCCCTGCCCACCCCTGTACTTAGTGTCCCTTCCGTTGGAAGGGGGGGGGCGGCGGCAGCACCGCGCCACCCCCCTAAAAAGTGTCAGTATGCCGTATACCGGCGTATAAGACGACCCCCGACTTTTGAGAAGATTTTCAAGGGGTAAAAAGTCGTCTTATACGCCGGAAAATACGTTATTTGTTTGCAAACAGGAAAACCAAAAATGACTAAATACTTGTCGCTTCTGGTTTCTTACACCATTGAGACGATCATCCTGGTATATCCACTGAAGCTGTGGCATACATTGAAGGAAATAAGTATTTGGTACCCTGCTGATTTTGAATGTTTTGCCCACTCACAAAGAAATTATCAGTCTAAAAATCGAATGGTAGGTGTATTAAGACAGAATAGCAACAAAAAAATAAAAAAAATGCATGTTTAAAAAATTATGCACTGAATTGCATGTTCATGAGGGAAATACGTATTTGATCCCCTTCACAAAACATGACTTAGTACGTTGTGGCAAATCCTGTAGTTGGCCACCAGGTTTTGCCACACCATCTCAGGAGGGATTTTGTCCCACTCCTCTTGACAGATCCTCTCCAAGTCATTAAGGTTTGGCGTCTAACGTTTGGCAAATTGAACTTTCAGCTCCCTCCTCAGATTTCAGTCGGCTTAACGTCTGGAGACGGGGCTAGGCCACTCCAGGACTTTAACTACTTGCCGCCCTGCCACTGTAGAAATACGGCGGCAGGGCGGCACGGGCAGG